ACATACAAATTTTAGACCATTATAGTTAGTCAAGATCTGATGTCTGTATCTATGCTTTTAGTCCAAAGAAGTCGAGGTAAATGAATGAATATTTCTATCCAGTGGGTCTCATAGCATTCCAATATTCAAATGATTCGTTTGCCTTATACCTTGATAAAAAGTTTTTCCTTCCCGTTGACGTCGAACTAGTACCAGTGGGCATTTATGAGTCGAAACGACCGGTTGGGTCGACCGATTCAGCCAGACGCGACGCACTGTAGTGTTAAAAATAAACAAATAACCAAAGACGAAGACTGTTGAACTTTATTTTTAATATGGTAAGTTAGTAATGATATTTTAAGACATAGATATATTTATAAGGCTGTATTTAGTTTCAAGAGTGATTAATATATGTTTACCTAAGGTCAACATATATTAACACTGATTAGTTATTAATTAGGTAATGGTTTATCAATGGTGGTTACTTATTTGTAACTTAATTATATTTTCTCGATTACCGGCAATTATCGCCATTTATTAATATAATTTATGTTATTGAATCTAACAAAGCTAGTCATTTGTGTTTAACTTTTGTTTTTATTATAATGTACAACATTTTAATTCCTATTTATAAATATTTATATTTAATAACGGTAGAAATTTACTGTATTAATTAGTATTATAAAATGGAGGGATAAGAAATACCGTAAACGGGTTACCAGATTTTACGTGCATGCAGGGTTTTGCATTGTTCGCAGATACCAGATGAATGGGTTCATTAATCTCGTATCGTGTTATTCTTAAGATCTATTAGTCCGATTATTTTTGCGTTGAATAAGTCTGTTTATGGAATTTATATTTTACCGTGAGTGTTATTGATCCATGTGATAAGAATCAAGCAAGCAAGTTAGTCAGTTTAGTTTTCTAAGTAATTAATTGCTAGATAATTTACAATAAAACTTCGATGTATATCAATAAAATAAGAATCTATAACCCCTTATATATATTATAAGATCTATTAGTCCGATTAAGATTTATTTTTGCGTTGAATAAGTCTGTTTATGGAATTTATATTTTACCGTGAGTGTTGTTGACCCATGTGATGAGAATCAAGCAAGCAAGTTAGTCAGTTTAGTTTTCTAAGTAATTAATTGCTAGATAATTTACAATAAAACTTCGATGTATATCAATAAAATAAGAATCTATAACCCCTTATATATATTATAAGATCTATTAGTCCGATTAAGATTTATTTTTGCGTTGAATAAGTCTGTTTATGGAATTTATATTTTACCGTGAGTGTTGTTGACCCATGTGATGAGAATCAAGCAAGCAAGTTAGTCAGTTTAGTTTTCTAAGTAATTAATTGCTAGATAATTTACAATAAAACTTCGATGTAATATACATCGAAGTTTTATTGTATAGTTTTGTTGTGTTAATAAAATAAGAATCTATAACCCCTTTAAAAAAGTTATTAATATGTATTTAAACCTAAATTTAATAAAATAATTTTCTACGCTAACTAAGCCACGGATTTTACTAGTGTTACGGATTTTGCTAACTAAGCACCAATAGAGAGAGTGATTTAAGAGGAAGGGTTATATGTATAATACATGCATATTATAGTAGATAAAATCCGAGGGTTTGAAAGATATGTCGTAAAAACCTTGTTTTTGTGCGCATTGCAAACGCTCTGGCTAAACCTTACGAGATAGACCAAAATAATGTACTACGGAACTATACAGTTAACTATAATGTTTATGAAAAAGATCTACAAAAAAGTCCGCAATGGTAAGTACATGTCTATCCCCTAAGGATAAATACTAGTATTTCAAAGATAAAAATGGTTACTGTGGGTTACTTAGAAACTACTGTGGGTTAAATGGTTACTTTGAAATATTATAAAAAATAATGGGTTATTTACGAAACTATTTTAAACAATACATTATAATTCCTTATCTTTACAGCCATATAATTAAATTGAATATTTTAGAAGAGTCATTCTAAGTAAAATTTTATAGACGCGTGATTGGATACGTGGCAAATTGACGTGTCATGTCAGTTCTGTTAGAAATGAAAGATTGGCACATTGAAAAATGTTGCCGTTATCAAACCTTACGTGATTTTTAGTTTTTTTGTGTACATGTGTTGTTTTTAACTTTTGTTTTATTTTTGTGTGCTGTGCTTTAAGAAATAAATATTGTATTCAATAGATATAATATTAGAGGCTTAAAATTCGGGGCCAACGGCCGTCGAGCTATACGTCCGTCCCGGGTGGCAGCAGCCGGCAGGATCGGAGCGGGCCTATAAAAATTGCATTTAAACTATATGTACAAAAAAATTGTTGAAGTTAAATAAATAAAAAGAGAAGTCCTGTAGTATCATCATCATCTCAGACGAAGGACGTCCACTGCTGGACATAATCCTATCATAATAATAGTTTAATTAATTACTCCACACTGACACCATATTAGTAGTATCTACATTACACCCCTGCCAAGCCGGGGCGGATCGCTAAAGTTCATCTATAAATATCTCTATAGAGGCATATTATTATTGGTGGTGCGTATTTGGATAGAGAAATGTATCATACGATAAATATTTACGCGATAAATACCTTTGAATTAGTTGGCTGTATTCACTAATCATATGTATTATCATGGAATTTTAACCTTACGAATTTACTATCAATTTAGATGCCTCAGCCTTTAATTTTTTGCATTTATGTTCCTTGAAAAATTGGAACGGTTTTGGTAATGGACAAATAGCCTATACTAAAAAAGCTCGCCTTTGTACATGACATTTCCTTGTTACTTATATATACTTATGTATGTGTTCAGTGTGTACAATAAATAATAAATAAATAAATAAGCGTGAACTACAAAAAATAATGTATAAAAAATATACTTTTTATAAATTTGAAGTCCGTAGAGTAATTAATTGAGTGTGTAATGTGTGTCCTACTAATACGTAAAACGTTTAAATATCAACAGTCAGGGTCTAAACATTTATTTTTTTATTAAAACGTAAGATAATTTTCACTTAAAACCTCAATTACATTTTGCAACCGGCGATGAAACAGGTTTTTTAGTTAGTTAGTATTTTAGTTAAAAAAACCTTTTTCGTATTAAGAAGTCGTAGAATACTGAGAATTACGTTTGTCTGTAATTCAATATTCATTTACATGCAAAACGTTAATCGGTTCGTAACTTGGTTCTTAGAAGAAGTTGTCTTCAAGTTCATTCGCAGTTGTTTTACATGTGTGGCGACTCCCACATACAAAGAAATAGAAATATACTACAGCGCCATCTAACGAAGACACGCCAAACTACGGAGTAACTCCTGAATAAGAATTGCCAATCTTGTATCGCGATATGAAGAATTCTCTCGCCGATTAGCATATATACGAATACAACTTCCCAACATCAACCGTAGAGCCGCGGCCGGCCAAGCATGATCACCATCCTCAGAGGATCCTTTTGTGTTGGAGGGACATGTCTTCCGTTCTTCCACACATGAATCGAACACACAAGAAGATAAATTCTCACAAGCCAGGTCCTTCAGCCTTCTGCTACTTTACAAAACATGCTAAGAGTGCCATCCTGGGGCAGAGAAAGAAGAGCGAGTCGTTTTAAGCTCCATGTCGTTAGTGGCGACAAAAACCTAATGGGAAAAATTACCATATATTACCCAGGCCCAAGGTGGTCCGACGGTATGGTGAAGGTGGTTGTGGTGAACCTTGGGGCAGCCTATGTCCATCGGTAGACGTCTTTCGGCTGAGATGATGATGATGATAAACCCCCCCCATTCTGGTAGGAGGGTAAACTCAAAGGGCTAGGGCATTTGTGCCATGAGTTGCATGTGTTCATGGGCTGTGGTCACTTAAAATCCGGTGAACTGTATGTAGGGGTGGAATAATATCATAACTACCAGTTACAAATCATATAATCATACCTGTGAGTGTGAATTTTCGAAAGTTTGGTTTTTCTTTGCTTAAGTTTTTAATGGCATTTATCTTTGTCTATGACCAGAACCCAGTAGTGATCTATCACAGGTGAAATCGCAGTGACTAAAACGAATAATTTCATCATATGATTATAATTTATAAGAAGCAATAATTTCCATCACTAACTGTATGCTTCTTTGCTAGGGGCAGCACCATATAAAACGTGGTTATTATTCTTATATCAAAGTGGCAATGGCACAGATTTTGAAGTACAGTTTCATTTCAATTACATTTTGCTAATCGAAATGCTCCAATTTTACGTGAGCGGTCAAACAATAATTTTGATTGTGAAACCCGCTCTATGTAATAAGTTTATGTGGGATCAATAAAGGAAAATTAAATTGAATGTTTAATTTTATATTAGACTAGCTGAGACCCGCGGTGTTACCCGCGTTTGTTGTTATAACCGCGGGCAACGCCGCGGGTCGAAGCTAGTCTAAAAAAAGTAGCCTAGGTTACTCCTTATGTCATCAGCTATCTGCCAGTGAAGTCCCGTCGAAATCGGTCCAGCCGTTCCAGAGATTACCCGGAACAAACAGACAGACAGACAGACAGACAGACAGACAAAAATTGTAAAAAATGTTATTTTGGCATATGTACCGTGTAAACATACATATGCATTTAGTAGAAAGCGGTTATTTTAATATTGCAAACAGACACTCCAATTTTTTTTATTTGTATAGATATATTAGATAAAATGGTGTCTATACTGGCTAATTTATTCACGATTCAGTTTACTTTACTACTGTTATGTACAATACAAAAAAAATGATATTAACTAATGAAAAAAACATAAGAGATTTAATATTTGTGTTCATTTAACACACAGCAGTCTATCCAATTGAAAACTGGTTCCTTTGATCAAACATCCGTGGATTATGGTCATTGACATATTGTACGTTCATTGTACGTATAATTTACCTAAAGAAATTACAGCTGACGACAGAATTTCCTTTATCACATTGAACGTAAGGACGATTTAGTCAGCCTGCGATTACATGCAGCATATTCGACAATGGCATTGTTAGAGAGAAAAGAAGTTAATTATTTATGCTTCAAGCGGTTTGCTGGCACAAAATATAAAGACTTAAGATTATCTTAATAAGCTCGGAAGCCATATCATACTTACATTGCCCGCAAAGAACCAAGTCTAAAGAAAAGTTTACGGCAATAGAGTACCTACTTCGCGTGCGTAATAGACCCAGAGCTAAAGAACGGCTTCAGAAAGCCAATGAAATTGAAGAAGTGAACTACGATAAATCTAAAATTGGCAAAAAGTACTCGACGATATTAAGTAGTTTGTGTAATGTCGTGATGTTAACCCGTAAGAGGTTTCATGTAGGTGAGATAATTATAGAAGTGAAAATACATTATTGCCTAATAAAATAGAAGATAATATTACAAAAAATGTTGTATCTTAAATTATTAAGTGTTACCCAGGACTAGGAGAAGTAGGTACAGAAGTAATAATAGCTTCTATAAAATGGTTAATTTGGTATAAATAGGTTTAATGGCCGAGGTACAACCGATATCGAATAAATCAACATAATGATCTTCTGTTGTCGAGAAGTCTGGCTAAAACATAGTTTTAATATATATTACAGATCGTAACCACGTTGGTCCTGGCCGGGTTGAGCACGACCCTGGCGCTCGACAACGGACTGGCTCTGACGCCTCCCATGGGATGGCTCACGTGGGAGAGGTTCAGGTGCATCACAGACTGTGAAAAGTATCCTAATGAATGCATCAGGTGAGAAAATTTGACTTTTCTAAACAATAATACATTTCTATAGAAGGATTAAGTTTAGGTTAACACACAGTAAGTAAGGTGCTCAACACTATACAAGGACATCGTATAAAGGAAAGACACGATGATTGGCCCGCACTGAAATCTTCACCAATCGTGCCTAACGGGCACGAGCCCCTCTGTATGTTTGGTATAACGTAACGTTGACAACCACAACATGATCTTAAAACAGTAAAATAAAAAGTAAAATAGAAAATTACAGTACATAAATTGAAGAATGTCTTTGTAACTCGGTTCAATTCGTTTCTGTTTTTAAAAATAATACAAAAACGAACGAGGGTAATTTCGAGGGTACCTTTGACAAAACCAACTTCACCAGCATTAGTCAAGCTCTGTCTAGAAATGATGTTGATTCCACAATCTCAGGGTGGATCGACAGCATGCTAAGATATAGAGCTATTCAATTTACTGTGACCGAAGTAACTAAAGGGGTGGTGGCTAGAGGATCGCCACAGGGAGGTGTACTCGTACTCTCCCCCCTTCTATGGAATATTGTTGTGGATGAACTCATCACACAAGTCAACGAAAATAGATTCTTCACAATAGGCTATGCGGATGATCTGACAATCCTCATCAGTGGTCCCTTTCAGAGCGTTATTTGCGATTAAATGAGACTCGCACTGAAGATCGTTGAACAGTGGTGTGCAAAACTTAACTTGACAGTGAACCATTCGAAAACAGAGATTATCATGTTCACAAACAAACGTAGTCTAGGAAATCTCAGACTTCCCAAATTATTTGAAACGCAACTGACCAAAGAGGTCAAATACCTAGGAGTAATACTGGACAGTAAATAAATAGAATAAGTATCTCGATAATAACCAAAGAAAGCATTGTCTTCTGCCAATGCAAACGGCTAATCGGCAAAAGCTGGGGACTATCACCAAAGATGGCTATACAGAACTATGGCTCTACAGAACAGTCATAAGACCAATTGAAGTGTCCTCGAAAGGCAAGTCGTACTCGATTACCTCAAACTCGTCAACTCAAGTCTCAAACTTGAGACTCAAGTTTGAGACTGGTATAACCAATCCGTCTGGCCAGCGTAATATAGCAGGCAAAAACCTCCTTTCTAAGGTCTATGTCCAGCTAACCTACACACACACACACACACACACACGCACACACGCACACACACACACAAATACACACACACACACACACACGGGCATCCACATTCCACCTAAGTTTATTTATTCTACCATTTATATATTTTTCTTATTTGTCTATTAGTTTTGTATTTTGTTTTTATATAAACGCTGTGTATGTCTAACAAGTATTAGCGACGTATTTTTATGGTGTGCGCTAGATTGCTGGTTCCTAAACACAAGTTGAATCTTATTCTGGGTACCAGAGTTTATCGTAAATACTGTGAATATCGTGTTTGTTACGCTGTTTATGTTTTTTTGTGCCATATTGTGAAATAAATCGTATTATTATTATTTATTATTATTACTATTATAGGCTGTTGATGATGAATACCATAAACTAGATAACCAAAAACAACCCAATTTGCTACAGGCCTCGCGCTGTCTTGAACCAGCACTGTGTGTAGCCATAGTGTCACTCCGGTTTAGCGGGCCGATTTTTGACGAAGCAAGGTTCGCCCACGGTCAAAACATACACGCTCTGCTACCAATCCACAGTAGAGTAGTCAAGCTCTTCATTTAAAAAACACGACTAGAATTCATTAGTGATAGAAGTTCATAATCTATCTCCAATCATAATCATATGATGCATTTTTTCATTTTAGTCACTGCGATTTCTTTCACTTGTGATTAATCACTACTGGGATTTAGTTATAGACAAAAATAAATGCCTTCGAAAAGTCTGGCGCAAAGAAAAAACCAAACTTTTTATCAAAGACTACGACTTTGTTGGGTTTAGACCTTTCGCGAGTCTGGCGCTAGAGGCATAATCATAATCAGTGGTTTTCTAAATTAGTTACAGGTGCGATCAGTCATACGATTTATAACAGTTGATTGGGATTTTATTCCATCCCTAATTCATGATAATGATAATAATATTGAATTTTGTTATATCCCGGAAGATGTAGCCAGAGGCGTATAAAGCGCCTACATTTCGTGAACTAAATACAATATTATTTTATTCGATTAAACCACTATTGATCAAATCACCACTAATTAAATTACTAAACAGGTTTCGTCTAGATAAATATACGGGAACTGCCATGACAGTTAGTTTTACGAAACCGTTAGATATTTATGACCTAACGCATGTTAGCTTTTAGGGGAATTTGTATTCTGCTTCTACGATGTGTCGAAGCCGAGACAGAATGAAGTATTGGCATACCTGGCTGACCGTATAATGTCTTAAGATTACACATATACGAGTACAGTCGCATTTTAATATAAAACTTACTTAAGCTAAGCTGTAAGAGCTAAGTTTATCACCTAATTAGTAAGATGTGAAATATTTTATGTTGCTAGGGTCACTGTTTTTAGAATTTACAACTCAACAAGATTGTAAAATTCTTTCATAGGCTTTTTCAAGGTTCCTTTTGCATCGTTTAAGTAACAATACATTGAGTTTACGACGCGCCCTTTATAAAACGTCAAAGAATGCTTTTTTTAAAACTTGTATTAAATGAAGATTTCTGACGTATAATTTTAGTGCTTGACATTAAATAACAAATTTAATTAAAATTACAAGAACAAAATAACATTTCAAAAGAATAATGAATATTTATTTTTCGAAATATTATCTTACAAGACTAGTAGGTACTATTGTTTTATGGGTACTTATATAATTTATTTTCAAAATCCTTAGATCACGCTTTTTTTTTAAACTTCATCAATATTTTTAATTCCCTTTTTGACGTCCAGATAGTTGCGGTTATTAAGTCTACATCTTTGTAACTTTTTTAGTGAGAGCCTAATCAAGCGGACAGCAGACTTTATGGTGAGCGAGGGTTACTTGGAAGCTGGCTATGAGTATTTAGGAATCGATGACTGCTGGCTAGAGAAGACGAGAGGACCTGACGGTCGCTTAGTACCAGATAAAAAGCGTTTCCCGAACGGAATGAAGGCGGTAGCGGATTATGTAAGTAGATTTAGTCTTTTAACCGACTTCGAAAAGGAGGTTCACATTCGACTAACATTTTTTTTTGTGTACGTTAGGGACAATTATATTTGATGAAAAACATGAGAATCCCCATACATCTTAGGATCGAATTCTGCGGGTCAAAATAAGTACACCTCATGCATGTTCTTATAAGTAGGAGAAAGGTAAAGTTTGGGTCCGTTTAGTGTGCTGGAATTTTGCCTATGAATAATTAGGGCTTAGGTAAACGCATACTACGAGAAAGAGGACTACTCGAAGATTGTAACAGATTACTTACTTCGCGACAAAGTGTTATGGTTCTATATGTTTCGTCAATTAACTGCACTTGTTCTGGATGGAATTCATATATTAAAGTTTCTGTTATATTCTTTAAACTTCTGCAAATTCTTTATGCAAGGCAGTGTGTGGGTCAAGAAATTTTACTTTCCGGAAAATTTGATTTGCAAAAGGCAAACGTGATTTCGATTACGTGGTTAACTTGATTAAAATGAATGGTACCTTTTGAAAAAGTAACCAATTTCATCTTTCATGTTTCGTTTGAAAATATTGAATGAATTGTATAGTTTAACAGTCCTACAACAGTGGCCATCCGTAACTTAGTAATCTTTGCTCCTAAATGAAATGTAGGCTAAATCCGAGGAATTCCGGAAACATATCAAAAAATATTAAAACACTGAATCTAGTAGACGCGCTGATCGATAGTTTTATTTCCAAAATACTTTTTGACACCGATTTGACAATACCGGTCAGCTGTCAAAAAAGACTACTTAGTGTTGCAATTTCAAAACTTAAGTTAAGTTAAAAACTAGTACTACATTAAATCTAGAAAAATACTGATAAATATCCCGTTACCACCCGATAACAGTCGACGTGTGGTGGTCTTATCAAATCCCGTTTTTGCAGTAAGAGGCCACGTTTAATTTCATGCATACACATTACTTTAGTTTCAAATAAAATATTTCGATAATTTAACTGTCAAATATTCTATTTCTATCTGTAATTATTTATATTGAATTAAGTAAACAATGTATTAAAAATTACATTGTTCTAACAGTAAAATTAATTCACCTATTTTTCTTTTCTTAGATTCATAGTAAAGGTCTAAAATTCGGAATGTATGAGGATTATGGAACCAAGACTTGTGCTGGATATCCAGGAGTGCTAGGAAATGAAAAGTTGGATATTGAGACTTTCGTAGAGTGGGAGATTGATTACCTTAAACTTGATGGTTGTTACGTTAATATCTCACAAATGGACGACGGTAAATACTGAACTTATTTTTGTCTTTGATATTTACTAATTTTTCAAACAGATATTTGTATGTGTACGTATACTTAAAAATACGTATACTAATAAATATAATAATATATAAATATAATATATTCAGAGGTCGTTATATTTTATCGTAACCAATGTAAGATAGGTTTTGGATAGTCATCACATCCAGCATTTTGTTGGAGGGAAATACTAGATTTAGTATATCTATGTACCAGTTATTACTATGTACAGTTATTTGATGTTTGTGTAATTATTTGTATATAATTGTCACATTTACTAATAAAATATGATATTTCTTTCAGGATATCCAGCTTTCGGCAAAATGTTGAACGAAACCGGTCGCTACATCCTGTATTCTTGCAGTTGGCCAGCATATATGGAACCTGACTTTGTGCATGTTAGAATTTTTGTAAACAAAAACATCAAATATTTAATTGGCTTTTAGAGGTTAGGCTGTAAGAGAGATGCTGAATTAGCCAACTAATTGGAATGGTATTTTAGCGTCTAACTTGTTCGGAAGTAGATACGCATTATTGCAATATATTTAAATTCGTGTTTAGCAGTCGTAATTTTTAAAAGTTATTGTTTTATCGTATTTTTTATATTGTATTGATTAAGATTTTAATAGATTCCATTTAGTATTTATTATTTAGAGTATTTAACCGTACAAATAAAATCATTTAAATAACATCGAAAGAAATCTATCCTATTTACTGACAAAACAAAATTACTAGTAACACTACTCTAAGTAAGTGCTTCTAGGAGAGCAGAAACCTGTCTGAAACATGACATCAATTGCAAGCAATGTATGTATTCCACCAGAAATAACGAAACTGGCTTCCTAAAAGATTTCATATTTTGTAGCCAAATTACGAGTCGATAGCCAAACACTGCAATTTATGGCGCAACTGGGATGATATTGAGGATTCCTGGTCGTCACTTACAAAGATTATGGACTGGTTTGGCGATAACCAGAATAGGTTTGCGAAATATGCAGGCCCTGGGCACTGGAATGACCCTGATATGGTAAGTATACGGCAATCCATTACTTAGGATGTAATGTAAGCGACCATTGTTCTTATAAATTGTTATTGAGACTGTTTTGTGTCTTATTTTATATATATATATATATATATATTATTTTCAGTCCATCCGCTTGCAAGTCGATCGTGACCGAATATCGCTACGTCCATAAATTCTTGGCCACGTTCTTGCTACGTGTGTCACTCAACAGTCGGTTCCCTTAAATAGTTATGCTCGTCATTACGATATTTTTTTGTTATTTGTTATTATAAGTATTTCTAATTAAATACAAACATTCTTGTTGATGAATGATTTTGTGAATGAGCCATTCAGCAAACCCTCAAAAATTATGAGTTTCATCAAAAGTTATGAGCATGTTATGTCGCTTCTAGAAGTTAATTGACGAGATTAATAGTAAGTTTTTAGTAGGTATGGAAGATTCTTTCGGGTATATAGGAGTAACATACCATACCTATAATCGGTAGTAGAAATCTAGGAATCAGTAATCTCTGACAATGTTAAAATTATTACTCTCAAACTGGAAAGTGTATTTATTATATTTTCAACTTCTCCAATTTACTTCTGATTATCTTCGTTGCAGGTTCCAAGATAGTTTATCTTTTCCTGGGACTTCCCGAGTGTCATAACTCGATGTGTTCATGGGTGTTGTGTACTGTTGATCCTCGTGTATAGGAGTTATAGTAGAGGGCGTGTAGGAGCCTACCTGCATCTAAATAATTAAAATTAATGATTGTTATCCATCACAATTTTTACAGTTACTCATTGGTAATTTCGGACTCTCTCTCGACCAAGCTCGAGTGCAGATGGCTGTGTGGGCGGTCCTAGCAGCCCCATTGCTTATCAGCACAGACCTAGCTACTATTAGGCCCGAGTTCAAGGAGATCTTGTTGAACAAAGATATAATTGCTGTGAACCAAGACCCAATGGGAAAACAAGGGTTGAGGGTATGGAAGAAAACGGACCGGGGAACTGTAAGTGGTTTTGAACACTTTTTCTAGTCCTCGGCAATCAGTATAAGTATGTACATACAAAACTGGCATACAAATGTAAAACCTATTTTGCTATTCGTGGACATTATTAACTTTGGAAGTAGCTTCTACTTTCATTAACTTTTTAAATATTTGTCATCAGAAAGCCCGCCTGGAGATTTGGTCTCGTGAGTTACACGACGGCTCCTTCGCCTTGGCATTTGTATCACAGCGCGACGACGGCATACCATATGCTGCCAGCTTCAACTTCGACGATATGAGCCTGACCCCGGCTGACTACGAGATCTATGTGAGTTATGGCTGTTACCTTAGAAACCGCATACATTTAGTGACATTAACACAGTAACGACAGACTGATATGTGAATAAAATAATAAAATAAAAAGAACAAAATAACAGTAGTACGTCTTATATCGATTCCACACGTTCTACACTCCACATTGACTAGGTTTGGAATCTGATCAACTGGCGTGTAATTTGAACAAGTCGTTTCACATTAATACAGAAAATATTTGCCGAGTCTCTTTTTATATAAATCTAGATTTTACTCATTGCGCCTAGTCTTTTTATAATAGTTTTTGTGTATTGAGTATTGTGCACGAGTTTATGTTTAATTTGCTATCTATCTCCGAGAATGTTCGGTGGTACAAATAATGAGCAAGAAGCACGCATAGTTGTTTATTAAACAATAATCGCAGTGGGCTACTAATGTTGTGCTTTTTTGACAGCAATGGAATGGGACTTACTATTTACTAATAGTCGGTAAATACAAACGATTAGACTATGTTTTAACAATTGAATAAAGAAACAAAACGATTGATTCTCACTGTATTCTTCAATTTATTTTTGTTGTTTTATGACTTAATATTCAGCTAGACCATAATCCTACTATATAAGGTATTTACAGAGCCGCCATTTGTGGCTTTCTATAAAAGTATTTATATATAAATAAATTAAAAGTAACATTTTAGTACGTACCTATTGCTTAACTATTTATGTAATTGTTACCTATTTACATATATCGATAGATCAATATATTTTCTGTGTAGAATTAAAATGTTTGTGCTACTTAAGTGTTGCCATTAATTGCAGGATCTTTACAAAGATGAAAAGATGCGCCTTTTAAAATCAAACGAAGATTTTGAAGTTCGTATAAATCCAACGGGTAAGTTATTTCTGTTTGTGCATCTGTACTAATTAGAGATGGCCTAGCCGGTTTTATGTACTTAGATAACTGTTTTTACATAATTTTTAAACTTTCTACTTTTAATATGATGCATGAAATATTTATTAAAAAAAGTAACACCACCGAAACTGTTGCATTGCTTTTTCCACAGGTGTAAAATTCTACAAGTTTGTGCCAATGAGGTCAAATGAAGATGTCAAGATTGCTGGTATTACAACTAGGCCAGTGACAGCTGATGCTGTTGTCAACTCTGTGTTAAATAAGTTAGATTAATATTTTCTGTACTGTTAAGTTGTAGAATAATAAGAAAGATAAAATAAAACAATTATGATACGTATACAAATTTTTATTTGTCTGTGCTTTAAAGATGACTTTGGGCCTGTTGGCCCGTGTTCAGTCGTGGGTTCGATTCCCATCCAGCACAAATAATTGTGTGATGAGCACGATGATTTGTTCTATGACTGGGTGTAGTTTATCTATGATATGTAGACCTATTTATTAGCGTTCTATGGATTAACCGTGCCGTGCCGCATTTTTTAGAAATATATAAGTATGTTGATCAGCAGTCTGGTTACCATAGCACAGGCTCTGCCTAGTTTGGAATCAGATGGCCGTGTGTGACATGTGTGAAGATATTATTATGATTATTATTTTGAAGAAAAATATTCTCGCAACATTTCTTTTCTTTGCTGGCGTTGAGTTGATGAGGAAGAAGAAACTGACAGAATGATTTACTTATTGATCGATCCACGCACAACTGAAACCGTCTAGAATTATGAAATGTAGCACAAATGTTTCTTAGATGACGTAGGTGTGCACTAAGATTCAAAAACTCCAGACTGGTACAAAATGGGGGTTGAAAATTTATATAAAACTTCGTTATTTTTGGTAATAGCGTTTCCCTAAACGGCTGGGGCTACAAACTTAATATTTTGGCAGCATGTTGTAAGCACACACTAGGATAAGGATTTTTGAAAATTTCACCCCTAAGGCTTCTGAGGCTAAAATAAGGTATGATTGGTTTTATAGAAGTTCGTTATTATTAACATTAGAAACACGAAATAAAAAATATTCACGCGAGCGAAGTCGTGGGCCACAGCTAGTCTTGCATAAGCTATTTTTGCACCATTAAGGATAAATTTTCTAGTTCTTTAAGAGCGTACTCTTTCCTCAAAGGCTGGCAACGCGCTTGTGACTCCTGAGTTGCAAGCGTTCATGGGCGGCGGTAGTCTCCTTCCATCAGGCCACCCGTCTGCTCATTGGCTCCTTGTTCCATAAAAAAGTCCTGAATATAAAAAAAAATCTGCAGTTTTTTCTTATAATAGGGTAGTCACGTCTAAATATTTAAGTCTATAGGTATATTTTTCTGTATCCGCGGTTTTCCGGGGACACCAGCACTGCAAAAAGAAGGAAAACTTGACACAAACCCTATACCAACCAGTCTGGCCAGCGTCGTATCAAAAGATTAAATTACTAATAGAGCACAAAAACTATGCGGGTCAAGTGACAGATTAACTTAAACTGCTCGTAAACAAACATTCGCTGTCAAGTCGTAATACCTACATTCATTTGTTATCTTTATTGCTACAAATAGCACATTGTACTAATAAATTTAAAATAATCACATAATAATATATAAAATTGAATTTTTTTATTTCAAAAGATCAAAAACAGATTTTTGGGAGTTTTTCATTGGTTAAAGTTCGTTCTTCCGGCCATTGGCAAGCAGAGTAATAAGGGGTGGTTTTAGTCAGTAAGAGTACGATAGACTCGTTGCCTCCCCTCCCCCAATGGACGAAGGACACCCATGAGGATCTTCCAACCCTATAACAAAAAAAAACTGAGACATTTTTTAAATTCACAAAAGTAACTTTTAAAAAAGTTTCTCCGAGTTCAATGCGATTAATTTCTTCATCATGAATTCTAATAAACTGTATCTTCATAACTTAATTTTTCACTTTAGATGGGATCTTTTTTCTATATTTTAATGGGACCAAGTGGGCAGCATACCCTAAATGAAAAAAGATTTTTTCTATCAATTCACAAATGACGAAGTTTTGTTTTGAGGTAATAAACATAAAAAGAATCAACCCAATTGTAACTTGCTCATTTTTTTTTAAGTCGGTTAAATAAAGTAATTTGTCATAAATCATTTCAAACCCCACGCTGATGTGCAAAATTTATTTTATAACTATGGTAAAAAGCAGCCAGTTTTTTACTTGCTGATAATGTAGCTTTCATTCTTGACAGAATTATTAACATTGGTTTAGTGGTTTAGGCATGAAAGCGTAACAAACAAAGTAACTCGCTTTCACATTTATAATATAAGTATGGATACTAAGGATATTCATGTACAAAGATCAATTCAAATTCAGTCTAATAAAAGTGCACTAACATGAAAATATTAAAGTATTTTTATTTTAATTATTTTATTATATATTTTAATTATTTTAACATTTTTAATTGGCGTTTTGGAATCAGGAAACAATAATATCGGACTGTCAGTAGTTCATCGACCCAGATCGCCATTACAACGGTTTTATGAAACATTTCACAAAGAGATTTATTAGTTTATTGTTCATTCTTGATTATCTTTGTATACAAACAAAGACATACCGAATTATGTGTGCGCGAATAGAGACTACTTTTAATTCGATAGATAACCACTGACATTAATTTTCGGCCATTATGTTTTGATCGGAACATAAAAATAATCTTAAAATAAGAATTCACGCTTCCTGATGAATTTTCTTCTTTTCTTTTGTCAGAACTGAGTATACATCGTATCCGTAATATACTCTAGTAATTAAAATGCTAAACGACTCGTCCTCCTGGTTTCAAACCCTTGTTGGAAACAGTAATAGTGTGATATTTTAGTAGGTAGCTTTTAATATTTAACCTATTTAATTAAGAAACTTTAATAACTACTAGATTAAGCAAACTTACCTACGTGATGAAATCTACACTATTTCGGGGTCCAGTCGCGTCTCCTAGCGTAGAGAGCAAAAAATCGAAAGCTGAGTGTAGTTAGCGCCTTCGCTACCTCACCTAGTATTTTATTTATGTTATTTTATTTAGGTACTTCTACATATATGAGATACAAGTAATACATTTTAATATTGGTAACTGTACAACCCAGTTCATGCACTTTTCATATGATGGCGAACTGGGGTAATAATTTCTGAGTTTTTTTAAATACCTACTAAATTTTTAAGTGCCTACGTTAAACAACGTTATTTTAAGGAGAATTTTCTTACAAGGTTATGCGATCATATAAGAGGGTTATTATCGTACTTATTTAGCATAACAAATTACTTTGAAACTTTCTGCTACCGGGTGCGGTTGAGAGTGGATGGAATAAATCGGTGAGCTATTACTCGTATGTAGAGATGTACCAGTAAGATTTTCTACAAAAAGTATTTGGAATAGTTTATAAAATACTTTCGTAAATAGTATTTCAAATGCTTGATACATTCCTTTTAAAGTGAAATTTCTTTAGAATCGTTGTGCTGTGAAACGCAATGAAACGAAAATGCGCCACGATAAAGAAACAAACACATAAATGTATAGGATTAAGCCTCCGAGAGAATGAGATAGAACACATTATTTTTAATAAAATATTTTGACAGTGTAAATGTTTTTATCTTTTTATTTAATACTGGCTGGTACCCGCGACATCGTTAATATAATTAAAAAATAATTATTTGCATGCAAGTTTCCCTTCTGCCGTGTGTGAAATGCACACACACACACACACGCACACTTTTTTTAAATACAAATTTGTGTTAATGTGTATTAAAATTTTTATTATTATTTTAGTTAGCTTTTTCCCGAATGCTTCCTAACAAGGCATACCCGATTAGAAGCATTTGCCGGCAGAACAATTCATTTCTTAAATCCTTCGAAAAATAAAATGTGTATTTTATGCATTTTCATCTAAATCACGTTGATTTTGCTTTTTTCTTTAGATATTTGCGCAAAAATTCTCAAAAAATCTTTAGTACCAGCAGATTCGCTTAGGTCAGCCTCTCTCATATGAATGTATTTGCTTTGTTGTTTTTACCCCTTGCAACCTATAATGATCAATTTCTTTGATACGCAAGGCAATAAAGGGAATATATTTATTATTTAAATGTGGAAGTGGTGTTTGCTAAGGCAAAAACTCAGAATACCAAACTCAGACATTTTGTGTTTCAGCGAGTATCTAGACTTCATATGAAATCTCGGAAAACTTGGCCTTACCTCAACCATCTGGCAACCAAAGCCACAAAAGGCGTTCGGATGTTTGATCCTTTCTTCTCTTTAAGCTCCATGACGATGTCTTGTAAACTTTACTCAGTAGTCCTGTAACGGCGGCGAGGCACCAACTAGTTCCTGTTATTAAGCAACCGGAACCGGCAACCAGCTGCTTGGCAGCATCGAGTATCTTCGGAGAAACTCATTTGATGCAAACACGCTTGCTCCGCTTTCTTTAAAAAATATGAATGATGATGTGATGACATAAATAATTAAATGCCATTATTAAACATGGTTTGTCAAACGAAATTAGGAATATCTAAGATCCCTAAATAAGCTATATCTTTACACTTAGTACGATTGGTATGTTATTCAACAAGTTTATCAGGTTTTTATCAAGTCTTCGTTTGTTGAAGTTCAAAGTCACCGTTAACTGAGTGAAAGTTGTTCATTTAAGTGTTACATACACTTCATTCACAAACATTCAGCTCATAATATTTAAATTTCTATATAAATGGTCAATTATTATAAATGTTTCAATTACACAAAATATTTGTTCGTAGAAGAGTATACATTTTTGTTGGATCCTGAACGTTCCCATTACATGTTGCTGTCAAATCATAATTATGTCAGTCAAATAATGTCATGTGAAATGGTTTGTAGTGATGCGCAAAATGTATCACTGAGCTGAAAAGATTGATACATATCATTTCGCTCTAAAGATATATATCACTCATCTAGCTCACTAGCTCATTTAGCTCACTAACTCATTTAGCTCACCAACTCATTTAGCTCACCAACTCATTTAGCTCACCAACTCATTTAGCTCACTAGCTCATTGATCCGATTCAATTGATTGGTCTCTCAATTAATTCATTTCTTCATCTAAGCCTTTAAGCCACTTTAAGCCTCTCTCGCCATACAAACCTTTCTTTATTTTCATATTAACCTAAATTCATTATATAATATTTAAAAAAAGAAATTATTTCTTGTACTTTTTTTAGGTTGTATAATAGACATCGTACATAATTTGATTTTCCTTATACTTGGCAGGCTTAATTCTTAAGTAATATTAAACTTTGATCCTATAGAAATAATGTACATTTTGCATAAAGAAACTTGCGTGAACTCAACCATCACCTATCTCACTCATTTATCTTTAGTCTCACTCGCTCATGAAACAATGATCGGCGTCGTTGAGCTAGTGATCTAATGATCTAGTGAGCTAGTACTGAGTTACTGATATATTCGGAGCTAGTGTGAGTGAGTGATACATTTTATCGTCGTGAATGATATATATCTTTTATATCACTCATTCAGGAGCTACACAACTCTAATGGTTTGAGCACTAAAAATATAGGTACCTATTTATTGTACGTATTACTTAAAATAATTAAATAAACTTGACTGACAAGTCCAATGTTTTGTAAATTATATGAATACGGATCGCTTACGCTTAACGTAAATACTGTTATCAGACGTACGCATAAGAAGCAAAGAAAGCTGGTAGCTGGTATTAGGTCAATGATGTATTCGTGCCGGTAATGTGAGGCTGGCTGCTGACGTCGGCATCGTACGAGACGTGCCGATCGCGGTCGGATGGTCATCAGTTTGCGCCGGTAACACAGCTCGGTTAACACGTCCCGCCAGTTATACATATTTGTAACTTGAACTTTGTAGTCTACGAACATGGGCGGAAGGGTTGAAAATGTGGGCATACTTGCCATGGAAATATATTTCCCTTCGCAATACGTGGAACAAACAGAATTAGAAAAATTCGACGAAGTGTCTACCGGCAAGTATACAATTGGACTTGGACAGAATAGAATGGGCTTTTGCTCAGACAGAGAAGATATTAACTCGATTTGTATGACGGCGCTACACAGGTTAATAGAGAAAAATAATATCAACCTTCATGATATTGGACGCATGGAAGTTGGAACTGAGACTATTATTGATAAGAGTAAAAGTGTGAAGACCTACCTCATGACCTTATTTGCTAAGGAGGGAGCAACAGATATTGAGGGCATTGATACGACAAATGCCTGCTATGGTGGTACCGCAGCTCTTTTTAATGCAGTGAATTGGGTGGAATCTTCATCATGGGATGGTAGGAAGGCTATTGTAGTAGCAGGAGACATTGCTGTGTATGGCAAAGGGCCTGCACGCCCCACAGGTGGGGCAGGAGCAGTTGCCATGCTTATTGGTCCAGATGCTCCATTAAGTTTAGACTGTGGTGTCCGTGCCTCTTATATGACTCATGCATATGACTTTTATAAACCAGATTTGGCATCGGAGTTTCCTTTTGTTGATGGAAAGCTGACAATCAAATGCTACCTTAGTGCTTTAGATAATTGTTATAATTTATTTTGTAAGAAGATGCAGAGGGTTGACCCTGACTTTAAGGGCCTTCTGAGCTTAGATGGCATGCTGTTCCATACTCCATACAGTAAATTAGTACAGAAATCACTAGCAAGACTGTGTTTCAATGACTTTCTTAATGCATCACCTGAGCAGAGAATAAAGCAGTTTCCTGGATTATCAAATTTCAGCTCTTATAAGTTAGAAGAAACATACTTTGATAGAGATGTGGAGAAGGCATTCATGAAGTATAGTGAAGAGTTATTTGAAGAGAAGACAAAACCGTCATTGTATATAGCCAAAAATGTAGGAAATATGTATACTCCATCATTATATGGTGGGCTTGCGTCTTACCTCATTAGTAAATCTCCAGAGCAGCTGATTGGAAAGAAGTTTGCACTGTTCTCATATGGATCTGGGTTAGCTTCTACTATGTATTCCATTAATATTTGCAAGGACATGAGTGTGGGATCTAAGCTAGAACGAATTATAAGCTCTCTGCATGACTCTGTGTCCTTGTTAGATAAGAGACAGTGCATTGAACCTGGTAAGTTTTCAGAGATCATGGATGTGAGGACAAAGAATTATCACACTGCACCTTATCAGCCATCAGGTTCAATAGACACATTATTTAATGGTACATATTACCTCATCGAAATTGATGATCAGAGAAGACGTAGTTACAATCGGAAGGTTTAAAGTATGTATTTTGTGTTCGTTACAAGTTGTGTGATTTGGTGTAAGAAATTTGTTTTGGTGGTGTTAATGGTTTTTAAATTTTTTCTTGGTAAACGGTTAGGATGCTACTTCTATGTACATGTCATCATCATTCATCAATAGCCTTTAATATTTCTGTGCTGGACATAGGCCTCACCTTAGAAAGGAGGTTTTGGTCTACTGTACCACCCGGGCCAGACGGGATGGTATAGGGTTTGTTTCGAGTTTTCCTTCTCTTACCAGTGCTGTTAGATTGCAGTTTGCTTCCTTAGTCTGCTCTTATGATACCCATGGGATGGATAGGGGTGGTGACACTCCATAGTCTTAATTCATCACCATATGTACATGTCATATTGGAATAGTATTTGTCATCATAATAGCTATAAAAAAATATTATTGTAACCTATTCACCTCATACCAAACATCAGACATGTTTCTAATCAAACTGTACTTTGAACAATGCATTCATATACATAATCTACTTAATAGACATATTGAGGAACCAATGGGTTTATTTGTGTTTTAATCATCCCTAAATAATTACAATCACAGTATAAAAAAAACTTATTTGACATTCAACGTACATACTGTACTGTTATTTAATTAATTTAAACCGTATTTGCCTTAATTTATAAAGTTATATAATATGCTTTATGCTATAGTAAATTATGTTCTGATATTTTAAAATATGTAGTAGCCCAATTAATATTTAATTCACACTTTTAGATAGAAAACACATAGATAGAAGTTCTATGAATAAGTTAAACAATTTGTTTAAAAAGTTCCTTATAAAACTGAAATCAGTGTATTGTAATACTGTCAGCTGTTAAGTGTCATAAATAGATTGCTTATATCTGTTATAAAATAAACAATTGTAATAAAATATACAATTTTAAAATACACCAAAGCTATATTCAGTATAAATGATCTTCGTTTTAATTGTGTAGCTTATGAACTTTATACACAATCGATTTAGATTAAGTTTTTATCTAATTTAGTGCAATTTTATTTCAAAAATAGTTTGAATGTATTTGACAATGAATTTATATATATTTTTTTAAATTATGTCAAGAAATCGATTTTGAATTTATTTCTTTGTTTTACTTTGTAAGTATTGAATCATTAATCATTATTAACATAGTTAAATAAAATATTCTCCTATATATCTTACTTTTTTCAATTTGATATTAGTAAATACTTTTTAGTCTTATTTAATTCGACACATCTAGCATCCGCTACCGTTACTTGTGCCCACTGACGCGATGACGCCTCGTTAATATTCATAAGCATTGTAGTTTAATATACCTTTGTTATACATACATAAAAATTTCATATAATTACTAACTGAGATAAAGTTACAGTACTATGCTACTTCAACTCACAAAAAAAAATATAAAGACTATCTGTGTGGCAATGAAATTATATACAAACAAAAGGCGTTTTTTTTAGTTCGTAGCTATAAAATAAATGGTCCGTTTTTATTGCGGTATTTATTTTAGAAAGCTAGTTTATCTTTTTCGCAAAAATTTTTGTAAAAGTTTGATCAGGTACTTTAAACACAGTATGTTCGTGTTGTTAATGTAAGTATACCTACTGTATGTGTGTATATACCTACTGTACCTACTATAATACATAAGTAATATAAGTATACCTACAACCGCAAGGATTGTCGGTTGGTAGTAGGTTTATCGTTTTTAAACAATAGGTAGTAAACTTAGTGATGTTTCTTTTGAAATCCATGTTGTCAGATGACCAAACATAACAGTATCAGCAGACAGACAGGTCGTGGTATCTGCGATACCCTATCATAACTTCTTAAACAAAATAAAGTTGTGTCGCAAATCTATTATAGTTTAACTGTTCTTCATTCGTATGAAGTATTCGTATTCTATGTACCTACTTTAAATGGCAGTCATGCATCACTACTTACAAAGTAATGCACACCATAGCACTTAGCATGATCCTAATGTTAAATTTACATTAAACGATAGTTCTGGCTTCTATTAATAAAATCAGTGTATCGAGTGATATTTCTCCTAATTACGTAGGTACGTAACGGTAAAACCATGTTGGTATTTCGTGAGTTATAAATCCACGGAACCGAATTTCTCGCATAAATCAATAGGTACATAAATTATGAGTAAATAATCTGTCACGGTACGAACTCTTTACTATAACGTCGTGGTAAAATATGAAAATAAAGTACATCAGATACAGTAAGTTTTGAGTAGGTAATCATATATGGAGCTAAAATTGAGCAAAGGAGATATTTGGTGAAGCAACATAAATTGTCTCCCTCCATTCATAGATTTTTTTACTATACACCATAAATTAGACTGAGTCCTGCTGGTGGTCCGGAGGTACCCGGATCCCTCCTATTCCAGGCACAGAGTGGCACAGTGTGTGGTTTTATTCGGTTCTATTCAGACACAGCCACACATAAAAAGATTCCATAGCGCACCACACCCCATCGCAAGCCCCGGTGGGGTGACGGCCCGAGGTAGTATTGGTATTGGAGATGGGCTCTAGTTTCCGCATTAAGACTCATTCTTGAGTCCATTCTTAAGTCTTATGCATCGAGTAAAGGTAGGCTACGAGGGCGGTCGTTTCTTCTGCTTTCAGATATCCTCTGCAATGAGGACTCTTCGTCACATTAATGTTGAATAGTTGTCGGTTCAGAACTAGGTGTCCTAGTCATCCCAATAGTTACTATAATAGGTAGAACTATATCTACCTATTATAGTAACTATTCGGATGACTAGTCTGCTAAGACTGATCAATCTCCAAGTAACTCGTAGTGAGATTTCAGTCAGCACCGGTTTGAACTATCTGCAGCCGGTTGGGATTTTCCACCTACGGTTGTGTGCTGTAAAAGTACGTTGTTAGGAGCCAAGTTGATCAAAAGGCAACGACAGATGTATGATTGGGGCGGCTGCCGAAGTTACCAAGGCTCTCCTTGCCAGCTCATCTGCGGCGTCACTCCTATGAATTAATAGTATTTCACACAGGCTAAAAAAATAATAATGTTATAGGCTTTAATACCCTTTTACATTTATGTTGTGGCGATGTAAGTTTTTCGCGGCATTCGCATTGACGGTAAGACCCGTTGCTTGTTTGAAAGTAGGTATACGCTACGGCACACCTAACGCTATACATGTCGACTAATAACCAAAGTATCTCTATTACTTTTAGTTTATTTATGTTTAAGACTGCTCAGATGAGCCTCTGTAAGCCATTTAGTAAGTGTCATGCCCAAATTATTTAATAATTACTTAGGTATTGCAGATATAAATATAGGTTATGTGTTCACACAACCTATATTTTTATGGGTATCTCCTTTATAAGAAATAATTATGTGGTAAAAATAGCAATAAGTCTCAAGTCAGCAGGACCATTGTTTTTCTGAAATGGCTATAGCAAAAAAATCTATTCTTTGGCAAAAAGATAGCAAATAATAAGCAAAAAAATATGCCACAAAACCTGTTTTGATAAATGTAAGGGATCCGGAAATATAGCGTTGGCTGCGATTTCTTAAGTCTCAAGTCAGTAGGACCATTGTTTTTCGGAAATGGCTATAGCAAAAAAAAAACTTTGGCTAAAAAATATCAAATAATTAGCAAAAAAATATGGTGTAAGTTTTATTACGGCCCTATGACTTGGCTACGCTAGCTTCATGGACACGACAATCCCTCCCTAATTTTGTCACTTTAAGGGCGGTAACTAAATTGTGTATTTTCACTCTCTTCAGTTGTAGGTCTCAATGGGTAGCGGTAGTTACTTATCATCAGGTGACCCGTCTGTTCGTGTACTATAAAAAATTAAAGAACAAATCGATACGCTAAAGATTTACTTCCAAAAAATGATTTATCATTTATCACAAATCCGGTTATACTTAATCCTTTACCATTCTTATCTATGAGTACTATGCTCAAAAGATATTTTTGTAATGTATTATGATTTGCTCGACACGACACGTCATTTATAAAGATTGGTAATAGATATCTTGGATTATTAATATGTCGCAACTAAAGGGTGTCTCAGTAAGAGTGCACTTTTCAAATTTAGAATCATTTTTTTTTGTGCGAGTGGCTCTCTGAAAATTGACAGCTGTCACATATGTTTATTCCAATTATTAAAAATGGAGCGCTTTTCGAAAGAACAACGCGTTATAATCATTGATAAAATACTTACATAGATGAGTAATTACCGCCTAAAATCGTTGCTACTGCACATCTGTCCACAGGCATAGGCGTAGCAAACGTCAATTCAGTGTTCAATGTGGCGTCAACCGAGTAGAACATAGCGACACATGACAGTAACAATCGCCAAAATGTAGTGAAAGAATGCGATTCAAGGTCACAAAACCATAATAAATCATGCGGAATTACTTATCACGTGTAAGTTTATGGTTTTTGTATTGATAATATCGTAAATAAGGCTATAATTGAAATAAAACATTGATAATTGTAATTTAGAATCAGTGTTACCATTAAAAAATCATTTTTGTTTTCCCACATTAGTGGGAGGATTTATAATTTATGAAATAATATGCTTTATACTGTTTTTAAACATTTTGTCAATAATAATAAAATATAGGAAGAACGGTAGTTGTTAGGGCTGGATCGATCACTCTTTTTAGGGACCCGTTGAACGTTCACCTTCTGCCAAGCTCGCAGTGCTGGAGACTTTTGTATAAAAGAATTAATTAATTCATTCATTCATTTTTCTTAATTGATTATCAAATATAAATAATAATTGTACAAAAAAAAATATAAAATAAAAAAGTAAATAAATATAAATAAAAAAATATAAAAAACAAAAAAAATATATATATATTTGTTATATTTTTTTTAATTTGTATTTTAAAATATTAAAAGAATTTGCAATACACCCTGGGGATTATTTATTTTCAGTACAAGTTGATCATTCACTTTTACTATTAAATGCCATTATTTATACATAGGTAAAAATAAGATTGTATC